TTTTAATGACCCGGGGTAAGTAGATACATGTCATGTGGACCATGTAGTTACAAGGAAGACAAGCGTAAACGAGATCTTGGGTGTTTTCAAGAGACAAGCCACAAGCATCACATGGCGAATGGATTCGCCTAGGAAAAAGGGTGAGGATATGCTTATGGCTTTTGAAGTTTGCGATTGTGAGAGGTGGTGGGTCTCTTGTACAAGCGAGGTTTATGCTGAAGTTGCAAACAGAACAGTGATAGTATTCATTTTGGAGCTTCTCCTGGCAGCATTTGCATTTCACATCGGAAATAGAGGCATATGTCTTGGAATCAAAGGGATCTCCGTAAAGCAATGAGTTGGGTAGGTCTTTAGAAGGATTAAAATCGGAAGAATAAGAAGAATCTGAGGAGTTGGTGAGTGTGAGAGGGTGTGAAGGGTGAAAAGCATGCCTGATCTCCGGCGGGTACAAGTGGCAACCCTCGTGGAAAGCCACCTTACAAGTAGGACAACTGTAAGAGCGTGAATAATCATTCTGGCTAGAGCCTCCACATCCAAAGCATTTTTCGAGTTTCCCAAATCTAACCTCGAGGGTGTGAGGGTTAGTTAAATCCGAGAGACGACATCTTGTTTTAAAAAAACACCACGAGTGAATATAGCAATTGCAGGTTTCACAGTAGAAATTACGCAGAGCATAATTGTTTTCTCCATTGCAGATCATGCATTCAGTCGTCGTACTATTATCATCATCTTTTCGGATAATGAAGTGCGGCTGAGCTGGATCCGACTTCAAGCACACATGTATAGCACGAGAACTAAACTTCAACGTCGTTTCTTCCATTTTGTTTTTTTCTTTTTTCTGGTGAAAGTTTCAGATGTGAATGAATATTTCTGAGCCTCCAAACTTGTCTTATTATTAGCTCTGTTTTTCTGCTGTACAGCCGGCAAGCTACAACATAAATTTGTAAATAATCTTTAAATGCCTGTCAAATAATAGTAGTATTTGTTTTCTTCAATTATTTTGTCACGTTAAAGTTCTTTTAAGTATTTTTGAAAAAGTCTACTCTGCTTTTAAGTATTTTTTTTTATTCCTACGATACCATGATCTTGATGTAGGTGAGAGTTTCTTATTTTAAAATGACCAAAAATTGTTTTTATTTACATTAATCAACAACAAGCAACCAAACTATCGTCTTATCTAAGATAATAGATTTCTTCTTTGGTTAATCAATTGACGATGACTCATGAGTCTAACACGAGCACTAGACTTCAATGTGTGTGTTTTTTTTTTTTGGTTGAATTCAATGTGTGTTTTCTCCCTTTAAAAAAAAAAAAGCAAATTAACGAGAAGAAGGTGAATAATCAGTTTCAGATTTGCTTTAGCTGTTACAACGAGAGTTTTATATTTTTTAAAGACCAACAACTTCTTTTTCTTTTTATAGTCTTGTTTCCATTAATCAAATACCAAATGGACGCTATTCTAACTATTTTAAGAGTAGATCAAAAATATCTTTGTTATGTTTAACCAATTCATCAGGCAAGTTGCGGTGCAGCCGGCTAACTACAATCAATTACCAAAATATTTTATTTTTGTTTACTATCTTATTTCGAAACAAAATGGACCGTCTCGTTTCTTATCACATCTATCAATAAAGTGAGATTTTGAGAAATATATTAAATTTAGAAATTTTAAAAAATACCATTTTTAAGTGTTATTTTACAAAAATGTCACTTTTTAAAAATTATTTTTTTATATTATTTATATTTGGATTAATTATTTTCTATTAGAGTTTAATTTTAAGTGTTTAGGGGATTTTAAGTGTCAAAACATTTTTTAGAGTTTAGAATTTTAAGATTTAGACTCTAAAAAATCATAATTAGTGGCATTTTTGCAAATGGACACAAAAAATGGCAATTTGCAAATGTGAACATAAAAACTGGTATTTTTTCAAATATTCCAAATTTTAATAGAAATTTGAAAAGTACACTTAATCTTGTAAAGTTGGAAAATTATATATTTACTTACGTAAAGTATGTAAATACCCATATACATATTTAACATACTAAATAACTTAAGAATAATTTAAAATTATTAAATTTAAATTCCAAATTTTGTTTTGTATTTACTTTTTGTTTAAAAAAATATTTTGGTAGTAAACTAATATCTAAAAGCTAAATTCTTTACTAAAATAAAAAAAAATAAATATTGACTTATTTTAACAGTCGACTTATATTTTGGTTGGTTGATTTTTTACTTTGTTGATTTATTTATACAGTTGATTTATTTTTTATGTTTGTCGACTTAATATTCAGTTTCATCGACTTATTTTAAATGGTTGGCATATATTATCGTTTGCTTGATTTTTTACTTTGTCGACTTATTTAACCATCGACTTAATTTTCAGTTTTGTCGACTTAATTTTTAGTTTCTTCAACTTATTTTAAATTGTTGACTTATATTTTATTTGATTGACATGTTAAATTATCGACTTATTTAAACTACTGACTTATTTTTTGTAATTCGTTGACTTAAAAAATTTTTATCGATTTATATTTTGGTTGATTGACTTTTTATTTTGTCAACTTATTTAAACCATTAACTTAATTTTTATGTTTATCGATTTGACATACTATAATATAAATTAATTAAATTGTAAATTGTAAAATTAATTAAAATCAATTCCTAATTTTATTTCATAAAAAATAGCAATTGGTAATTTTATTTAAATTAAAATAGTAAAATTTTGTTGAGAGCTTGGAAACAAACAGTAGCAAATTTTCAAAAATAGTAAACAACTTTGTGCACACTGCACACAAAAGGATGAACGATGTAACTGAAGTTGAGAGAAATTCTTAGATTGATGATATATTAGTTAGATTATTAGATTGATGATATATTAGTT